GAGCATATGTTATTTAAATCAGTGAAATTGACACAAATTCGTCATTTACCATTTTTTTTTTCATGACCATTGTAGTTGACAGCCACTCCGGATAGAAAACTTCGCGAATTGCGTTGACTTCGAGCAATTTTTTGACTTCCTCAATCATCGAATCGACATGCTTGACAACAGATCTCCTACTCTTTTACACGATCGGTTTACCGGTTGGATTAACACTGGGTTGGTGAGCCATTATCTTAGGGTCAACTCCCGGCATTTCATGCGGAGTCCGTGTGAACACATCTACATTGGCGAGCAGGAGCTGAGTAAACTCATCTTCTTCAGATGGTGACAGCTTATCTCCAATCAAGAAATACCTTTCACGATCTTTAGGGGAGGTTTTTCTCAAATCTTCTATTACTTTTTTCTTGGAGGGTTTCCCATCATCTTCAAGGACCTCCTAATTCGGTACGTGGATAGTGTGGACACAAACTTCTTTAGATTTCTTTATGATAGCCGTCATGTAACATTCCTTAGCCGCTACTTGACGCCCTCTGATTTGTTCCACTCTATGATAAGTATTTGGCACTGCACTTAAGGTATGGAGCGAAGTTCGCCCCATAATAACATTGTACAGTGAAGGTAGTTTTTATAAAAAAGAAACCACACCTCAATTGTCTTACTTCCAGCTTTCACGGGGAGGACTATGGATCTAATGGGGTATTCCAGATTCGTGTTGAAGTCGAATAAAGGATTCTGTGGTGGCTTCAAGTTATCTTCTTTGAGGCTGAGTTTCTTAAAAGTTTTGTAGTTCACGATCTCTGAAAGTTTTGTAGTACATGATCTTTGCCATACTATCCTGGTCAACCAAGATCCTTTCCACTGAATACTTGTTCATGCGCAAATTGATCACTGGAGCGTCATCATCGGGGAGACTGACCCCAATGAGATCTTCGTCAGAGAAGTTGATTATGTAGTCTAGACAGCGCTGTTGGCGCTTAGAGTCCGACTTGGCATTCGGTAACTAGATTATTAAGTTCGTGTCCATTGTCCTAGTATCTCCTTGTGTGCCTGAAACTCTTTGTGGGTGAGCAACCTCATAGATATCGTGGAACACTCCGATAGGGAAGAATCCAGCCTCACTGCGAGTTCCTTTCATAGGATACACTTTCCTTTTTCTCTTTTCCGCCTTGACAAATATTCCTTGAGATGGCCATTCTCTATCAACTCTTCAAGGTGGTTCTTCAGAGCGTAATAATTCTCAGTGAGATGCCCATGATCCTTGTGATAACTGTAATAATTATCTTTGTTACACTTTGTTAGGATCTTTGCCCATCTTCAGGAACCAATAGAAGTATAGTCGAGTCTTGATATGTGTTATGATCTTGTAAACAGGTTCAGTGAACTCCGTATATTGGTGGCTTTTGAATGTTCTTGGGGACGTGACCTGGTATTGCTCTTCTTGACATCGAGATCCCTTTCTCGGGTCACTTCTAGTATTACGCCTCTAGGGCAGTGAGACGTCCTTCAAAAACTTGTCATTGGTGGCGGGTGAGACGGCCTTTAATGGCTCTACTAGGACGAAGGTGTTTTTGGTTTGGATAGCATCGTCCACAACCTTACAATACCGCTCCACCTTCTTCATCAAGTCACTAACTCTCTTGGGCAGTTTTCGATTTAGGGCTTGCCTCAAGGCACTATCTTCCTGGAGTCCTATTTTAAGAGCCGTGTTAGCCATGGACTCATTACAATGCTCGATCCCATTATAGCACTCCCAATACCAATTGGAGTATGCGCGAAGGGTCTCTTCTTGTTGGATTTTCATAGGCTATAGTTCGTCCATCTGTTGCGGTTGCTTTTGATTGATGATGAACCTTGCCTTAAACGACTTTTGAAGTTGCCGAAAGCTCCGAATTGAGTTTGGCTCCATTTTATAGTAGCATCGCATGGCTAACTACCGCAAACTTAATGAGAACATTTTGCATATCAGTTTTTTTTCATCCTTATACAGCATGGCCTGTTGATAATGTCTGATGTGATATACGCCACAAATGTGGGGGCTTTAAACTTCTTTGGGAGAGTAGCTTTCTCTATCCAACGCGCAAAGGGTGCATTGTGGAGGTCGTTTTTCAAATCTTCATTGTCTGTGCAGGCGGAGCTTTTATTAGCTTGTAACCATGGACTTTTCTCATAACTTTCATTCGAGTTAGTGTTATGACCACATCTGGTTGTGAGGTGACGCATTCTGGATCCTGCATGATCATGATTCATCCCTTTGCATAAGTCATATGCCTTCGAGGATTTATTGACATGCGAATCCTTGCATTTGCCAGCCTGTCGACTCTCTGAGGTGCGATCCCTTTTATTGCGGTTGGAGGTCCTTGCCTCTTCCAGTTCCTTTAGCAGGCACTGGCTTCTCCAAGGCCATAACTTCTATCTTCTTTCCATCTCTCTAGAGGCGATCAGAAAGCGCCTAAACAGAGTTATCTAAAATGATGTCGCCTGCTTCTACTCTGAGTTTCGAGATATCGCCCTCGTATTGGATGGGGCTAGTGGGGTTGTACTAGTAGGGTCAATTGGCAATTTCCTTGATGCAGGGTTTACGACGTTCTCATTTCCTGCCTTCATAGATAGGTCACACTAGTGGAGGTTTTCTCATCGACAACGCCAATTGCGGTGAGTTAGAATTTCTGTCTTGTTGTTACCAAGAGGATGATCCACTTTATGTCATATACCTGCAAACAGAGGATAGGTTCCAGTGGGGTGGTGTGCCAAGTGAACCCTCCGAAGATATTATCATCCTTTCTCTTTGGTTCTCTTCTTGGCATGTGCGTGCTTGGCCGATGCATATTTGTGACCCCTTACGATTCATGCTTCTCAGTAAAGCAATGCCAATTACTATAGGCTTTAATTTTGGTTACAACAATTATTAACGTACAAATATTTGTGAATTATGTGTATGCTTTTTATATAGTAACTACAATTTCCCGTCTCTCCTCAATTGTTTCTCTTATGTTTATCATATTTTTAGAATTAAAAAAAAAGAAAAGAGAAGAAAATAAGTTTTTGGTAGAGAAAGCCTCAATGTACATAAAACACGTAAGTTGTATTTGGTTTATAAATTTAGAGAGGAATCAAGAAAGGGCAAAAAAAAAAAAGTGAAATATGAATAAAATCTAATTATATTTCAATTATATTTTACATTTTTTTTTCTTTTTTCAAATCTCTTCACAAATTTATGAATCAAACATAGCTTTAGGTTGTGTTTGGTTCAAGGATTTGGAAAGGAATTTGGAAAGGAAATTAAAAAAAATATGTGAAATGTAAATAAAATATACTTACATTTCATTTAGGTTCATACGCCTTTTTTATTTTTCTTTTCAAATCTTTTTTAAAATCTATGAACCAAATACAATCTTAGAGTATTTGGTGGAACTTCTAAGGGTCGCTTGGGATATTAGTTGGGGCTAAATTAGTTCACAAAAAGACAAAATATGTTAAAAATCACAAAATATCACATTTAAATAATAATTATTCCACTTTTTCTTTTCTCACAAAAGAATAAAAAAGTTAAAAGTTCATCCGAAATAAATTTTTTTAAGACAAGCTAAAATAACCAAAAAAAAATTAAAAAATCAAGCTAAAAATATTTATTCCAACCGACCCCAAAATTGACTTCGTAAGCTTATAAGTCCTACAAGATATATATTTGTTTGGTGAGATTTTTAGAGGGATTTCTACCGTGAGGGCATCTATTGAAAGTCCATTTTGTTGCCGTAGTCGCGGAGAGTGGCTTCTCGAAAGAACTTGGCGAGAAGTGAATTTTCAATTCTATGATAATTATTAAAATTTTAATTTGGCCATCAAATACTATTATATTTGGCCATTACTAACCCTAGTGATTATTATATTTATAAACTTACACCTTGTTTGGTTTTCAAATTCCAAAATTAATTTTTAATATTTTTGTTTTTTACAATCTCTGTCTTTAATAATTATTTTTATTTTTATTTTATAAATTTAGTTGAATATTTATTAATTTTTAGATACATCTAATGCTTCTAAATGGTAAAATTTGTGAAGAAAGTTTTTTAAAAAAAATTGCTAAAAATGAAAAATATTTATTAGTGTTATTTTTTTTGTCTTTATTGAATTATATATATATATATATTTAAATATTTTTCTTTTTAAGTACATTTACATTAAGTGCATCAAAAAAAAAAAAAAACAACTTAAAGATAATTTTCACAAAACTAAACAAAACAGAGATTTTCCCAATTAAAAAAGATTAGAAAATGTTGAGTGTTCATTGATTCATATGTTTTTGTTTTTTTTGAGCCAAATATTTTTTGGTATTTATTTCAATCAAATTAATTTATATTTTGTTTCAAAAAAATGCAGAAAATAGATTTTGAAAAACAAATGAAACAAAGTGATTTGACTTTTGTTTCTGTTTAAAAAAACTAAAAATGATCATTGAAAAAAATATTCCGAGAAGTTTTGCCAACAAGGCCTTAGTATTATTCATCTATATTTTAAGGTTCTGTTTAAATTATGAATTTGATTAGAGATTGGAAATGGAAAAAAAAAAAAGGGTTGAAATTTGAATTAATTATATTTATATTCTACCTATATTTTAATATTTGTTGAGTAAATCATCTGTAAAAAAAAAACCTCACAACACAACCATTTGTATTTAAAAAAAATGAACGGTTAGTATGATTTTGTTGATAATTTTTTTTTTAAAAAAATAATCAAGACTTGATCATGGGCTATAAATATCCAACTAACCTAATTTTTATTTTTATTTTTATGAATAATATGTTTGATATACCGTACAATGTGAATAATTTGGATCATCAGATAGATTAAGCTTAACAATAACCTTATCCGTTTCTTTTTCTACTTAGTTATTGTCAATTTCTTTTTCATTTTTTATTTTCCTAATTCGCAAAAGAGAGAATTTTATTTTCACTTTTTATTTCTCTTCTTTGATATCTCTGTTTTTGTTTTACCTGTAGATACAGATTGAAAATGCAAGCCGTACTGGATAAAATTGTAGGAGCAATAGTTGAGCCAGTGATCCAGTTAGTAGTGGTCCATGTTGGTTTTGTTTTTCAGTACAAGAAGAAGCTGAGGAACCTGGAAGATGAAATTGAAAAGCTTGAAAGGCAGAAAACAAAAATCGAAGAAGAAGTTGGTGAAGCCATTACTCATGGTGAAGAAGTTAATAAAGATGTTTCAAAATGGCTTGAGGACGTGGAAAAAATAGTTCAGAAAATTAAGGATGACAATACTATGAACGAAAACAGGCAGTGCTTTAAATTCTCATGTCCAGATTACATCTCGCGCTACCGAATGAGCAAGGAAGCTGAAAACAAGATTGAAGAAGTAAAAAATCTCACTCAGAGTGGCAATTTTAGCCCAGATGTACTTAGTAAGAAAAACGAAAAAGAAAAACAGAAAAAAAAGAAGAAAAAAAAAGAAAAAAAAGCAAAAGTGGAATGAAAATATGTACCCCGCAAACCGTACCAGGTACAATTGTAGGCAAAATAGTTGAGCCAGTGATCCAGTTAGTGGTGGTCCATGTTGGTTTTCTTTTTCAGTACAAGAAGAAGCTGAGGAACCTGGAAGATGAAATTGAAAACCTTGAAAGGCAGAAAACAAAAATCGAAGAAGAAGTTGGTGAAGACGTTACTGTAGCTGTTTCAGAATGGCTAGCGGAGGTGGAAAAAATAGTTCAGAAAATTAAGGATGACAATACTATGAACGAAAACAGGCAGTGCTTTAAAATCTCATGTCCAGATTACATCTCGCGCTACCGAATGAGCAAGGAAGCTGAAAACAAGATTGAAGAAGTAAAAAATCTCACTCAGAGTGGCAATTTTAGCCCAGATGTACATAGTAAGAAAAACGAAAAAGAAAAACAGAAAAAAAAGAAGAAAAAAAAAGAAAAAAAAGCAAAAGTGGAATGAAAATATGTACCCCGCAAACCGTACCAGGTACAATTGTAGGCAAAATAGTTGAGCCAGTGATCCAGTTAGTGGTGGTCCATGTTGGTTTTCTTTTTCAGTACAAGAAGAAGCTGAGGAACCTGGAAGATGAAATTGAAAAGCAAACAAGTGAAAAATGGAATTTTTGATGAAGTCGTGGTGGCAGTGGTCTCTCAGGATGCAAATGTGAGCAATATTCAAGGGCAACTCGCTGATCGCTTGAGTCTGAAACTAAAAGGGGAAACTGAAGTGGGAAAAGCAAATGAATTGTGGAATAGATTGAACAATGGGAAGAAAAATCTCATTATATTGGATGATATGTGGCAAGAATTGAAGTTGAAGACCGTAGGGATTCCTATCATTGATGGAAACAATTGTTGCAAAGTTGTGATAACGTCTCGAATCCTAGGTGTGTTGGAAAAGATGCATGTTGATAGATATGTTTCAATGCAAGTATTATTAGAGAAAGAAGCATGGGCCCTGTTCAAGAAGAAGGTGGGAAATTTTGTTGACTCTCCTGAACTCCATGATATAGCTGATGCAGTCTGTAAAGAGTGTGGAGGTTTGCCGGTCGCTATACTTGCAGTTGGAGCAGCATTGAAAGATAAGAAAAAATATGTCTGGGAAGATGTACTTGATCAATTCAAAGATTCCATGCTAAAGAATATTGCAGGAATCGATGCAAAGGTGTATGCTTCCTTAAAGTTAAGCTATGATCGGTTAGAATCTAGTGATGCAAAATCATGCTTCTTGCTGTGTTGTTTCTTTCCTGAAGATGCTAATATTTCAATTGAAGTGTTGGCGAGACACTGCATAGCAAGAAGTTTGCTTGGACAAAACACAAATACACTAATAAGAGCAAGCCGTCGAGTACTTACAGTGGTCGATATCCTCAAAGATGCTTGTTTGTTATTAGAAGGTGAAGATGAAAACTTTGTCAAAATGCATGATGTCATTCGAGATGTTGCTCTTTCAATTGCGAAAGATGATGGCAAGGGCAAGGAAATTCTAGTAAAACATGGTGACACAAAGTGGCCCGAGAAAGATACCTGCGAATCTTCCTCAGCAATGTCATTAAGTTTCGACAACACTCTTGAGCTTCCGGATGATTTGGTATGTCCACAACTCCACACCTTGACCATAGTATTGGAATGGGACTGGCATAGCAATGCTTTGCTTAATGTTCCAGATAGGTTTTTCAGTGGAATGGAGAAACTTACAATTTTAGAATTGAATAGAATCTGTATGTTGCCTCCATTATCTCTTGCAAAATTGGTTAACCTTCGGATGTTATGGTTAGATAATTGTGAGTTGCGAGACATAGCTATACTCAAGGATCTAAATAATAACCTTGAAATACTTAGCCTTCAAGGTTCTAATATCAAGGTTTTGCCATCAGAGATAGGACAATTGACTCGTCTTCGGTTGTTAGATCTGGGAAATTGTAAAAAGCTCACAGAGATTCCACACGGTGTCTTATCCAATTTGTCTCGCCTGGAAGAATTATACATTTTAGATGATAAGTATATGTTTAGGGAGGAAAGTGTCATAGTGAATCTTGATGAGTTGGGGAAATTGATGCAATTAACCACTTTAGAGATTCACATACCAAATGCCATGCTATTGCCCAAGGACTTCTGCTTTGAAAACTTGATCAGATTTAAAATAGTAATGGGTAAGGAATTTGATTTTTCTGGAACTTATGATTCTGTTATAACTTATTCAAAGTCGTGTAAACTTGCGGGTGTTTCCTTAATGGACAAGTTAATCGTTTTGTTGATGAGAGCCGAAGACCTACATTTGGAAAAAATTGAAGGTTTACAAGAGGTGCTGCATGACAGAGGTGGAGAGGGGTCTTTGATGGAACATCATGGACTAAATCCATCAGGGTTCTTCAATAATTTAATTGAATTAGCAGTTCGAGATTGTAGGTTGAAATATCTCTTCTCCCTGTCCTGTGCAAGAGGATTTCCACGACTCCAGAGACTACAAATAGTTGATTGTGAGATGATGGAAGCAATAGTTGGAATTGAAGAAGAAAAAGATGAAGATGAACTCTCAAGTCAGGTAATTAATTTCAGTCAGTTGAAATATTTGCGTCTCAGGAATCTACCCAAGCTCATAAGCTTCTACATCATCAAGTGCAAACTATGCAAATTTTGAGTCGCGAAAATCGGTTTTCGAGAACATCATGGCTGCATTACAAGATTCCAATGTTAAAATGATTGGAGTATATGGAACAGGAGGCGTTGGTAAGACGACAATGGTCGAAGAGATTGGCAAACAAGTGAAAAATGTACTTTTTGATGAAGTCGTGGTGGCAGTTGTCTCTCAGGACGATAAACCAGGATCGCTATAATAAATGGTTCAGATCTTCGAAACGGGACCCATGATGGACCTCATGGGCCCAAACAACACCCTCTATCGACATGGAGATGGGCATTGTACCAGGCACCAAATCTATAGAGAATTCTACCTCACGATGGGGTGGTAACTCAGTGAGATCCTCAGGAAAAACATTTGGATACTCACAAACCACTTTAGGAAATATCCCCCAGATTGCACTATCCTCATCAAGAAGAAAACTAAGTTTGCCTTGACTTCGTGGGTCATACAACGGTGACAACCCTCTGTCAACTCTATCCTCCAGAAAATAAAAACAATCCCCGCCAAAGGTGCATACCGTAACCCTTCCGCGATAGCAATTTATGACGGCCCGATAAGAGGATGACCAGTCCATACAGAGAATAACATCAAACTCCGACATTTCCAATATCACCAAATTAAAAGGGCCCACGACACCCTCAATTCAAGACAACTTCACCCCTGATTGGTGACTCAACCATAAGCGAAGAATCTAGTTGTTCTACCGCTAGGCCTAACATGGATGCAAATGTTGATGCGATAAATGAATGAGATGTTCCGGTGTCTATCAATACATTGGCCCAAGTGTTATAAATAAGATAAGTACCTTTTATCACTGATGGTCCAGATGATTGTTCAGAAGCAGTGATTGCATAAACTTACCCTTGGGGCCTCTGCTCACCTCTACCTGCTCTCACAACATTAACCGGTTGTGTTGGCTGTGCTGATGTGGCCCCCTGTACTGCCCTTGTTGACTGCCCAGACTGAACTGATTGATAATTCTGTCACTAACCTTGGCCTACCTGATAACTCCCAGAATTTTAGGATCTAGAAGCGCTCCCCATTCCGACTAGCTGTGGGCAAGGCCCCTTCATGTGTCCCGATTGCTTACAATGGTAACATGTAGGCAATTGGCCCTTTTCCTGGGCTTGGCTTTGAGAACGTGTTGGTTGTTGATGACTAGGATTTTGCTTGCACTCTATTGCTATGTGACCTTTCTGGCTACATCGGAAACAAGTAACATTGATAAGACCTGCACTTCTAGAACTTCTCACATAAACGAACCCCGATGACTTGGATTGTTGGGGCGTAGATTGGAAGGAAGATGAAGATGAGCCCCTAGATTTCTTGGAAGATCCAGTATCACCCTTAGATTTAGCATAACTCAACCTCTTATGTTTCTGCCTAGCTTCCTCAGCCTCTAACATAATGTCTACATGGGCAGCGGCCTCCATCAGTCTATCATACTCCCGATACATATTACCCATCACCTTCATTAGAATATTGGGCTTCAATGTCTTCTCAAATTCCAAACACCGATGCTCCTCAGTTGCCACAAGCTCGGGTGCAAAACCTGCTAGACTAGTAAATGTGGCCTCGAATTCCATCATTGGGGTGTCCAACTGCCGAAGTTCCTCAAATTGCTTTCTCAACCTCTCTCTAGCCGTAGGAGGCAAAAACTTCTCTTGGAAGGCATAGGTGAATGCCTCCCAAGCATGCTCTATTCCATGCTTAACGGACTTCTACCATTGGCTCACCTCATTTTTTAGTTGGTAGGCTGCCAATGCTATTGGGAGTTCTCCATCGCGAATGTCTAGAATCTCAAAAGACTCAATAATGTGCTCTTGCCATTCGTCTGCCTTCATTGGATCAGGCCCGCCACTGAACTCTGCAGGGTTCGAATGAAAGAATTCCTTCTTCAAGAAAGAGGTTCGAGTCTCCTCCTTTATTGTCCTCGTTGCTTGCTCGGCTCGGAGTATTTCCATGGACTCTCGAAGAGCCCTTGCCATCTCTCGGGCTAATACCTCCATTGCATCTTGGGTCGGAGGGATGGTCGTATCGTTTTGCCCTATCCCTTCTTCTTGGGGAGGTAAATCTTGCTGAGCCGGCATATCCCAGCTACCTCGGTATGGCCTGTCATGACCTTTATCGCGTCCAAACATCCTATATAGAGATAAGGAGAAAGGATTTAACTCACAATTCATACACTATACACGTCACCCACGAGTTAGACACACACCTATGCAGATATCTGTCACATAAGGCACACCACATAGTCATATAAACACATAGAACACATACGAGTTACTCCCTCAAAATTCCGACTAGTCCCATGGCACTCAAGGACCTCCTAGTGAAAAAAGCATTGATCAGGTGCCTTTCCAAAAGAATTTTGATGATTGCAATAGGCACTAATCACATCCTAAGAGATTAACTCCATACCTACATTATCACACAAACAGGTAAGACACATAAGACAAACTAACATCCCTTTCTAACATAATAGCCCTATGCAGTAAAGCCACTTCCCACGAGCTCCAGGTATTCAACTTGGTTAGCTCTGATACCAATACGTAACGCCCTGACCAACAACCCTTCCTGTTTCTCTTTCTCATTCGGGCATTACCAATATAGGATGAACAATACAACAAAACAAAATAGAAATAATACTCATTAACAACATTCCTTCCCTTTTGAACTGTTTCCAAATCTCACAACATTGTCTCTTTACATTTGCAAAAGAAAATAAAATAGTTTAACAAGCAAGGATAGAATTAACCAAAAATTTCTTTATCCTTGTTACATCAAAATATCTGACTACACAGTCATTTAGAAACTTGTCTCTAACACACACAAAATACGATTCACCACAAGCTTTCATGTCCAAGAAGTGTTCTTCAAACCAAAACGTTCATTTAGGGAGCACTTTATCTTTATTACCTGAAATGTGGTTAGTTTTGGGGGTGAGCAAAAGCTCAGTAGGCAATGAACTTAACAGGTTATAACATTAATTGGAAAACACATGATTATTGTATTATGTATATGTATAA